CTACAAGCACCTGGCAATATACAAAGCAGGAAAGATCAACCCAGCTGACTGCATGTCTTGCCACCCACAGACACTTCACAAGTCCTCTGTCACAAATGATGTTGACAAAAATAAATGCCAATTTATTTATACCAATGCAGTTCTTAAAGCCATGACAGTGGATGAAATCAAGACTGCAACTGTGAAGGAAAGCCTCCTTCAGCATGTCATCAACATTAGCCACACTAGTCAATGGCACAAACTGTATGATCGCTTCACTAAAAAACAGGTTCAGTCTGATCTTGAGAGGAACTAACTGTCTTGGAAGACAAGAGTCTACTTCTCAGAGGATATGACCTAGTTGTGCCAAGGGTTCTATAACACCCTCTTAAATATTCAACATACTGGAATTTACACATGAAGGCTATTAAGGCCCAGTCTACACTAGTGCATTTTAGTTTAAAAACAGCGTTTTAGATCAAAAACGATCCGCGTCCACACTAGCGTTTCACCTAGCGTTTCTGAACATATTTCCGTCCACACTACGCCACCAAAAACGTATATCACGTGACCATTCGCGCACTGTGGGCATGCGCGTTCTAGCGAATATATGTTGCTGCTGTAGTAAAAAAGGCAGAGTTTAACTGTACAATGGCATGTTGTTGTTTACAGTGAAGGCTGGTCTGTTGTCTTCCGGTAATGTTAAAGCCATGTGTTATAGTCATGTAATAGAGGCTTGACGTATAAGGGAAGGATACGCAATGACACAAAAGCCCCAATATGCTAGCCAATCTTGGCAGCCCTGCCTCCATTTTCAAATGTCTCCGTTTTTCCTTATCCACACTGAGACGGAGCAGCAGCGTTTTAGAATGAAAACTGCCTCTCCAGCGTTTCCAAAACGCTCCGTTTTCGGCACTCAAAAAATCTGGCGTAGTGTGGACGGATGGCGTAACCGTAGCAAAACTTATGCATTTTCAAACTAAAACGCATTAATGTAAACGGGGCCTAAGGCTTGTTCAAAACAATATTCCAGATTCCCCTTTGAGTATTCTCAAAACAGTAAAGTCTGACATTAGCTTACTATTACCTTGCAAACCTTAAAACATGAAGGGCTCTATTTTGACTATCCATGTGCACAGTGCAAAGCGAACGCAACGCAAACGCATTGTGCAAACGCATTAAGGGCGTGTCAGAATCCACTTTTGCTAATATAAAGATGGAAAAATCTGCTTTGCGCCATGGCACATGGTCTAAAAGGGTTAAGCTTATTTTCTTAATGAGTTACAGGTGTGTTTTGAGAATAAACCAATCAGAGTCTCATATCCCATTCCCTTTAAGAGTCAGTTGCGCCGCGCCATAGCGCATTTGCTATTTACGTGACAGACTTTTTAAGTGAAAAAACTGAGCATTTCACAAGCAAGAAAACAGTTAAACGGAGCATCTACAGCGCGAGAATGATAGATGAGCCTCCTTATTGTTTACTTTCACTTTCGCTCTTGTGGATAGAGAAACCTTGTAGGCACAGACATCAATTAGCCTATAAATAATTAATTTCATTTGTTAAGCGCAAAGATTTGTTTCAAAGCTATTTCTAAATTCGTTCTAATTTCCAGCAAACGAATAAAAGAACAATAATAACGAAGTGTGGTCAAAAAAACTTGTGTCAAATGCTGTGCCCCATATGGTCTAAAACCTGAGAGGTGGGCAAATCTAAGCTTGTTTGAATAAAACAAACATAAATATGGATATAATAAATAATACTGCTAATAATGATAACATTGTACAAAAGCAAATTGTCACGAATAAACTGAAAAAGCCTCTCGAGATGACGAAGACATGAAAGTATGGTTTTTATATTTATGTAGGCTAGAAAATAATATTTTGTAATATTTTAATCCTTTATATTTATATCCTATATCTATCTGTATTATATAATATAAATAATTAAAAATGTGACTTTTTTTCATATGTAAAGATATTTGCGTATTGCTCTACATATTGTGTGTATTAAGCCATGTGTAAGCAAGGCGCACAACTTACGCGCTCTGCACTGGACTTTACCTGGGTTTGTTCTGGTCTATTTAAAAATCTATTATAGTTTCTCAAAATAGCAACGCACCAGCAATGTGCCTCAACATGCCTCCCTTTTTAGACCAGATCGTCTATGGACACACATATGAGTGCAAATGCATTTGCTATTGAAACAGTGTGGCGCAAAACGTCAAAATGACTCTTACTCCAAGCTGAAACTATTGCAAACAACAGTTGTGTTGCGCATTGCGCCACATTGCTCCGTGTGTATGATAGGGCCCAAGATATGATGCACGCAAGATTAACCCTTATTGGACACAAGCCAATGGTGAGATTGAGAGATTTGTTGAACTCTTGAAATGGCAATATCCACAGCTACCGGAAAGGTATGGGAACAACAGCTCCACAAATTTCTGAGCAACTAAAAAGCATCACATTCTGAGCTTCAGGTTCTAGTATTTCTTTAAGAGAGGAAAATAAGGAAAACTCATGACATCTTTTGATCTAAAGCCCAACAAAGTTATTATGATTGCCATCATAGAGGTCAATATATTGCCACCAGACACATCTATCATCTGAAACCTCTAAAACAATGCACATCGGTTTAACTTGACAACGCCACTGATGATGATACAGATTATTCTGTTGATGAAAGAAGATGAACAAGCATGTGAACAAGAATAACCTGGAATTTCCACAACATTCTCAGCGGTTAATAAATGTAGGTTAAGGCTATTTAGTTTCATGTCTTCCAGTGTTAACATTTGTATATATGTTAATATATTTTACACACTGACTTTATCTCACTTGCTTATTAGCTCAAGTTAACATAATTAAAAAGGAGCATGTTTTGGGTCAATAGTATGTTAAACTGTTAAATAAAGGGAGGGATGTAATGTACTTGTACACCTTTAGGAGGGAAGTTCTAGGTTGCACGGATATGGTGTTGAATGTTGTCCAAGTGAGTGTGTCCTGAAATGTGACACCTAAATGCCATAAAAGTTTAATATTCAACACAATGTTGTTGGTTTGGAATCATCACATTGAAATCCGGTAAGGGATCATCAGCTCATGTTGGAATGAGAGATTTGGGTGTTGTCAGCATAGCAGTGGTAGAAAAAGTGATGTTTCTAAATGACAGACCCAAGCCATGCTATTTAATTGGAGAAGTGGTCCAAGATTTGAGGCTTGACGTACCCCAGTAGCAAAAGCATGAGGCTGAGAGAGTTGTCAAGAAAATTTGGTGGTTCACCACGTCAAAAGCAGCCGACATGATGAGTATTTAGATGTAACTATTCTGAGTCTTAGGACTTCCATATCAAAGAGCAGGGTAGTTTCTTCTTTTTGAAACCAGACTGGTTCTTGTCCATGAGATTGTTCTGGGTGAGAAAGTCAGAGACTTGGTTAACAATAACAAGTTTTAGTGTTTTTGAAATAAATGGCAGAAGTGATATTGGTTTGTAATGCCACATTTCTACTGAGTGGTACAGTTAAATGGGCTATTTGCGCAGCTAGTGTTTTTTAGCCAATGATGAACTTCCAGTTCCAGTTCCAGTTTTCAATTACATAAGGTTTCTTTTACAGCATCAATGTTGTAATGCAATTACAATACATTCCATTAAATAGACTTAAGCATTCATTTAGTTCAAGTGAAAAAAGACGAAAGACCATTCAAAATCAGGCACTGTCATTCGCAGCAGGCTAGCGGAGAAATTCCATTGAAAATACTGGGGTAAAATAATTTCCATATTTTAAAGACATGGCATGGAAAAATATAATTTAATGCAGTGCTTCTTGTTTGGTCTAATACCCACTTTATATTAAATCTCAGCCAGGCAGTGACGATTGTTTTTTTTTAAGAAATCAGATGTTCAATGTGGCAATTTTGTATGGGATGACAATTAACCGGAAACCCTGGCCCTGGATGACCACGGGAAAACATAAGTATTTTACGTTTTGCCAGTTTAGTGGCTAATTCGTAATTTTTACGTACGATTTTAAAAAGGAGGCGTGGCACTTAACCCCACCCTTAAACCCAACCGTCATTGGGGGATGAGCAAGACGGATTAAATTGTACAAATTAAATTGTATGAATTCATACAATTAGCCACTAAATCAAAAATTGCCGTGAGATTGTGTTGGGCTGACTAAAATTAAAAGTCTGTCTGCATATACTCCATTCAGTACAGCATGTTTGGTATGGGTAACCTTGGTCAGGCTTGTGTCATGTCTCGTCTGTGTATTTAAAAATGCCACTTTCTATGTGGTCATTTCCCATTCACCTGCAAGTCCAGTGTTTTAGCCTCAAGAAACTGCTTTATCAATTTTGCAGTATGACAGAGCTTGCTGTTCTTCATGAAAATTACTGGCTCACTGGACAATGAAAGGAACAGAATATACAGTTGAAGTCAGAATTATTAGCCCCCCTTTGATTTTTTTTCTTTTCTAAATATTTCCCAAATTATGTTTAACAGAGCAAGGACATTTTCACAATATTTTTCTTCCGGAAAATGGCTTATTTGTTTTATTTCGGCTAGAATAAAAGCAGTTTTTAGCTTTTAAAAAAACATTTTAATGTCAAAATTATTAGCCCCTTTAAGTTATTTATTTTCCGATCGCCTACAGAACAAACTATTGTTATACAATAACTTGCCTAGTTACCCTAACCTGCCAAGTTAACCTTTAAATGTCACTTTAAGGTGAACACTAGTGTCTTGAAAAATATCTAGTAAAATATTATTAACCGTCAACACAGCAAAAATAAAATAAATCACTTATAAGAAAAAGGTTACATCAAATAGTGACCTGTAAAAGTTTTAGATAAGTTGTTTCCTAAATCTGAAGTCCAGTGGTTTTATGTTATTACTGATCAATATTTATTTTGTTAGTTCATGGCACTGCATTACTTGAATTTAACAATACTTTAGATTTTGACAGATTTTCCTTCCATTATAGCAAATCTTCTTTCCAGATGATATCAGGCCCATTGCTGTGTGGTTCCTTCAACAAACGCAATGCAAATAAGACCTATGTAAATGCATTCAGTATTTAAGAAGTGATCCTGATGAGCTGTCACTCATCCTCCAGTTAGTGAAGCAATGGCACTTCTCATTTCTCTCTTCCTCACCTGCCTTTTTTTCTCTAAAGGTACAGTATGCACATTTGATTTTCTGTCTGTTCACTTTTATAAGATTTTAAAAGATTTGCTAACATGCATTTTTGTATAA